TCGGAAACAATAGGAGCTAGGCTATTGAGATTTGGCGTGGAAATTCCTGAGCTTCTTACGCAGCGCAAGTTTGTTTCAGCAGAGAGCCACGCCCACTCTTACGCCCACAAACCGCCCAAAACTGTGGCTCCTACAGTTTTGATGCTAGTTTTGCCACGCCCACTTTAACGCCCACAAACCGCACAAGCCTGTGACGCCCACAATTTTCACGCTAGATAAAAAATTTTAACTGTAATGTATTGGTCTCGTCAATACCTATCGATTGATCCAAAAAAATTTGACACGCCCACTCTAACGCCCATAACGCTTAAATCTGTCTACCGCCGGTAGGTGGTGCATTTTAATCTCGCTTTGCTGCTATCTCTATTTCCCTTTGGTCCCTTTATCTGAGTAACGGGTATCTGATAGTCGAGGTACTCGTCTATAGCATTCTTCCTTGTTTTTTGTAGTGTGTTTTGCAGTAGTCTTCAATCCACTGATTATAAAAAAAAAGATTTACGTATAAAAGTCAAGAAGTCATGAACCCAGGGCCTCCAAACCTGGGCGACAATCGGCTTGCGCCGGTTGCCATCAGCCCACCATCAAAAAAAAGAAGACAACCCCAAACACTGGATATTGCCTTTCCTGAACTTTCACCTACCTCAGTTGACAATCCAAGGTATATTACAATCTCCTTCATCTATATCGAAAAGACAATTTTGCAATTTTCATGCTTCGCCGTCCACCGTGCCTTAAAAATGATCTCAAAAAACATTGTGACAATTTCCAGCCTCAGAGACGGAAATATACTCATGCTAGTAAAATCTCAAGCCGATGCTGAAAATTTTTTAAATACTTCCGAGCTCACCGGCATATGCAAAGTACACGAGGCTCTCAATTCTGTGAAAGGGACAGTATATGCCTTGTACCTCTGTGACACTCCCGATAAAGAAATCGTCGATGACTTTAAATGACTAGAGGTTACGGAAGTTTATAAATTTATGAAATCCTACGATGGTGTGTCCAAACCCAGCGGAGTTATCCTAATAACCTTCGAACTCTATAACCGAAATTTCTTGGTAAAAGTTCGCGAGTTCATACCAAACCCCATGAGATGCAAGTCTTTCCAACGCCTCGTTTACACAATCAGAACATGCGAAAACACCCCACAAAAATCTGCAGTGTCAATTGCTCTGGCGAGCATTGGCCTCTTCCCGACAATGCCCTAAGTACCAAGAACAAAGAGAAATACTCAAAATTAAAAAACAGTCCGAAAATGCACTATGCGTGAAGCCAAAACAACATTCAAAACAACGTCACATAATCGAGGTAATATCGCTTCATACTCTTCAGTGGCCAAAGCATCAAATTAAAATCTCTTCCACCGAAGAAGGCCCGAAAAAAACCCTTCCCCCAGTCCCCTATCCCCACAACCCCTTATCAGCCAAAGCAATCCGCTCCACTTGCTCCTTACATGTATAACCTATCTCCTTCATCATATGCATATTTACAAGAAACTTATGCTGAACACGAAAGTAGCAGCAAAGCAACATCTTCAAATCATAATAAATCAACTTCCCACAATAATAATGTAAATACCCACGAATCTTACGATGCTATGAGTGATTCATAGTTTCGTCAATCCAAAACCACCTCAAGATCCAAACCAAATAACATCCACTCTCTCTTCCCACTTATGTCCATTACACTAGTACAATGGAACAACCCTGATGTTATTTACCTTCAGGAAACCCAAATTAATGCCAACCTAACGAACATTGCTTACCCCAAGAAGTTTATTGGATATTTTTCTATATTAGTATGTTAGCATACTCGTATGTAAAGGCATATTCCCCATGATCCCATCCCAACCAACAGCTCACTAGGTATTGAAATCCTAGCCCATCCCAATATCTGTATTTTTAATACATATATACCTCCACCTCAAATAGTAGCAGCTTACGAAATTCTTAAAATAGTAGAAATTTCTAGCAAACCAATCCTATAGGATATATATGTATTTACAGATATTGAACGCGTTTCTTTTCTTAAAATTCTTAGCCTGACATTGGTTTAAACAACACTGTAACGAAATTACGATTAAACTTATAAATAGACTAAACATTATTAAATTCTTAACATCTAAGCGATCTTTCATCCACCGGACAACACTTACAAAAGCGACAAAAGCTTTGTTGCTGTCCAAAATTGATTATGGCCTCCCCATCTATGGCTGGTGCGCGCCATTGAACTTGAAAAAAATCTTACCCTTATCATGCTGCCGTCAGGCGTAGCATTGGCGTATTTCCAACGACCCCAACTAAATGCAGAATAGTGGAAGCAGGATTACTGGACACTAAACTACCTTCAAATTAATAATAATAATTAATCTATTCTGCCGTAGGACTATGAAGTTGCCTCGAAGCACCGAAGGAAATTCAAAGTCCAATCTACGATACGAAGACACAACATAGACTCGCCTTATCGTTGGAATAAAGTCATTCCGTCCCCTCCGTGGAAATCACGCTAAACCGCCGTAGACACTACACTCCACGATTTCCAAAAATCAAGGACTCCAAACACAACGTTTAAGCAGCGATTTGAAGAAGTTTCCCATAAATACTCCGATAGGAAATGGCTTTACACCGATGGTTCAAAGTCCGACGCCACAACCTCCTTTGCAGTGGTAGACCAACACGGATAAATTGTTTCATGGGGTCAGCTACCTCACTACTTCTCGGTTTTTCCTGCGGAAGAAATAGCTATCTCGAACTTAAGGGAAGACATATCATCTTCAGTGATAGTCTGTCCACCCTGCAAGGAATCCAAAACTTCTGCAATGGCAACAACCTTCTATCCAAAATTCGTCACCTCTGCATCAAAAACAGCAGCAAAATTAAACTGTTATGGGTCCCGGCTCATATGGGAAAAAATGGGAACGAGTTAGCCGGCAAAGCTGCAAAATTAGCCGGACGGCTCCGTGCCACACAATCATACCTGGAGTACAACAGGACATCTGGAAAAACATCAAAAACATATTGCTGGACATCGAACTGGAAGACTAGTCGTTGTTTAAGCACTGGTAAAAACAATTTAACCCTGACAAAAAGGACATCAAGTTCCCTACTTCGATCAACAGAAGCGAATGCGCCATTCTCACCAGATTAAAAACCAAGCACACGAATCTCATACATAAACACATCCTCAACGGGGAAAGTCGGCTAAACTGCCGTAAGTGCGGAGAAGAACTATCAGTCAAACGTCTACTAGATACATGCGGACACCACGAAAATATCAGAACAAATCTTACCCCGCCATCAAAACTAGTAGCTGGCTATTAACAGCTACTAACTCCAACCTAATATTATCTTTTTTACGCATATGTAAAATTATACATCAAATTTAAACACACCTATCAAATATCCAATATCCCCTCTCATTAAATGTTAAATCACAAATATAAATGAAAAATGTTTATCAATTGTCGAGCCGATGGACACAGTAGCTAGTTACTCCTTTCCCTAAATTAGTTGTTATATTTTAATTGCGATTTATGTATAATAGCTAATACTGAATTAAAAATATATTTTTTCGATAAATGTTTGGCATTTGATTTACGCATTGTTGTAAAAATTGGGATGGATCGAATCTTTAAGGTTTTCGAGAACCAAAAGAAGACGAAAAGTGGTCCGCCTTAAAACAAACCGTTTTGACCCTACTGGCCCTACAAAGCAAAAGTGATCTTCACAGATGTTAGGAACGGCGAGACTGTGGTCTACATCGCTGCTGAGAGCTTGGAGGTAATAAAGAAAGAGGGTTCTCTGATCAAGTTCATGTTCTGAAAGCTTCCGGTGGACATCTCGCCACAATTTTAGCCATCTGGATTTCGGAACAAATCCAAAGGAGTTGGAAGCCAAACTGACGACCTTTGAGTGGCTGCCATTGCGGAGGGAAATGCTTTTAATAAGTTTTCGATAAATAAAATTGGGTCAGCTTAAGTAGCAAGCCCCCTGATGCAATCTCAATGACAGCAAGTTGGCACACGCTTAATTAAAAATAAAACAACCAATTTCTTATTGAATTTACTCCATTGCAGTGCAATTATTTTCCTTTCTAAAAAATTACAGAAATCACCTAAACTCGTAAAAAATACTGAACTACTGCACATGAGGTCCCTCCTTTCTCTTACAGCCTCTGCTGTAAGCAAACTAGTCAAGGATGAGATTTCCATTTAGGCAAGCGTTGTGAAAATTAATTTAAAAATAACTAGAAACAGCGAGAAAAGGGTTAAATACAATTTGAGCCCTAGCATGCGAAATGTTTTCAGCGACAAATGATTAAAAATTGCTATTAGCAAACTAATCAATGATTTCCGTTAGGGCAAGCGTTGTGAAAATTAAATAAAGACAATTTTGGGGGTAACAGTAACGAAACGAGAATTTTGACAAGTCAGAACCATTAGGACCCTTTTAAGCACGGTTTTTTGACTATGTATATCCATTTTTAAGCAACAATTTTCGGAGGTGAATGTGTCTTTAGTGCCAAAAAACTGGTGAATTTTAATTTCCTTGAAAAAGCATAACCATATTTAAACGGCGCCATTTGCAGATACAGATCCTTCCCAAAAAATCCCGAAACGCGAAGTACAAAATTAACTTAAGCTCGTATAAAATACTGAATAAAAACACTGGAATACTGAATCGATTTGCGTTTGCGGTCCCATTTCCCGCTGAAGCGAGTTGTAGCGACTTTTTCCCATCTCTTTCTAGCACGTGTATTTCTTATGGAAGAAAAGGTAACTCAAGCCGAAAATTCCCTTTTTGTGAATAGCACGTACGTATATTTCTTATGGAAGTCGCTTAAGCCGTAAACCGCTCTGTCTGAACAGGTATTAAAGGGGACACATTTTTAGAAGTGACCGTAGTAAAAATACTATAAAAATCAGAATAGTATCGATGTATTGTCAAAATCATGCGATGAACGTATTTTTGCGTGGTAGCTATCGATATATAGATATATTTTTGCCATCGCTACCGTGACTGCTGCGACGTCTTGTCTTTCTGTAATTATTTTTCGTATTTAACAAAGCCGTGAATAATGTAAACTAAATAGTGGGTAATACAAGGTGGCCAAATGCGCGCGCGTTGTTAAAGGAGCTAGAACGCACGAAAGTTTTCGTGCCGCATTCAGTTTGGTTGGCCTTTTCAGCTGCTTGTGCTTCCCATTCGTCGGCCATTAATGACACACACCAGAGAAAACGGGAAAACAATACAGCGTGTGTGTGTGCGAGAGTGCGGTGAAGTGTTGTGAGCTCGGAAAACTCCAAGAAGCCAGTGGGAAAAGAAAAGGAAAAGTGGGGTCCAATCGAGGCCGTAAATCGCAAGCGTTTCTTCGACTGCAAGCGGCGTACAGGGTGAGCCGTGCAAAAGAAAAGAAGCCAAGGCATATGTACCTGCAGTGGGTTCAAGTAATGAGGGGGGTGCGGTGAAGTGGGTAGGGGCAGGTGGAGAGCGGGGCGAGGGAGTTTCATTCATAAAAAGAGAGTGCACCGTTAGTCCAATTGGTCTGGCTTCCAATAACAGACACGCACACAGGCTCAGGAGGTTGCACACATTGATTTTTCCAACTCAAATATGTATGTATGTGAGTGTGGATTAAGGAAATTCGGTTCAAGTGGTTTTCCTGCCACATTATTTGGGATTAACACATTGCTGCTCCCGATTTTCCAGCATAAAAATAAAACTGAGGCAGGCAAATGTCAACAAGCTGTCTATCCCTCCCACTCCCTCTCCCGCAGCCAACACACGTGACAAAAGACAAGACATTTACATAAAGCACTAACAACATTTTGCAGTCGATTTGGCATTTAACAGTTAGCGTCCTAACGGCACATGTCCAGTGCCCCGCGCACCGCCCACCGACCCCGCCCCCTCGTGGAAAACCATATTTGCTTAGCACGGTCACAGGTAAAAGCGGAAGGGTCGCGGGGTGGGGGGACGGACGCAGAAGGGAACTGAAAAGAGGAATATAAAAGGCATAACATTTCCGCCTGCTGCTTTCGGCTGGCGTCCGCAACCAAAATAGACAACGTCGCAGTGGCAGAGAGTCGCCGCCGCCACCGGTTATGCGTGGCAAGTCGCAACAATCAGACACTAGATCGCGAACAAGATCCAATAGATATACATATGTTCTTTAACATCTTATCAAATAGATACGTGTAATATCATTTTGTCATTTAACCAAAATCGAAAAGATTGTCATATGTGTAGTATCAATCCTTTCCCACTCTATATTGGGAATAACTTGTTTACCTATTTATGAGTTAGTTATGACGGGATAAATAGGTCCACAAACAACGCTTACGAAAATGCATACGAAAACTTGAGGTAGTTTCCATTTCGATCGTTTTAATTGGACTCATGTTTATCACCAAAAGAAGAATTCCCAGATTATCGCGTCTTCTCGCTCCGCATAAACGCGGCGAAGAAGTCTGCATATGTTTGTGGCTTCTTTCAGCTCTTGGATCAAGCGCCACGTTTGCGTTGCTGTTGTTGCAACATGCACCTAGGCCTGCGCCACTTTGAACGTCCTCCCCCCACTTCCACCCCCTTCGCCTTGCAACCCCAGTCACTAATTTAAATGCCGCAAGTGTTGTCGAGTTTCCTGTGCCGACGCTGTGTGTTTCGCTCATTAGGGAATAATTTTGCATTGGGCCCTGCAGAAGGAAAAACATATTTTATTGATTTTACCTGGGGTTCGGCCGACAATAAAATCAAACTCTATGCGGTACACCGTTAACCCAATTCTGGTCGCCCACACGCTCCCGAAAAGTTTGTTGTCGCTTGATCTAAAAACGATTTCTCACCTATGTGTGTAATTGTGTTTATATCTCTCGGCAAGCGGCCAACAAACCTACAAGACCAATAGAGCTGATAGTACGGATATACAGTGACAGCCAACATTATATCACCGATAATTTCCGATTTGGTTTTGTGCTTTTTCAATAGTTTTATAATATAACCTATGTATTCTTTTATCTTTCTCGATATAAGACTACAAATTTGTTATATGCTGTTGTTAATTAACACTATCGTTACCATCCATATGATTGGTTTAGAAATGAAATCTATTTTATATTTCAATATGTAGCTTACAGGTAGGATATTCTTGGGAGAATTAACTGAACACGACAATCCGCATGTCCGTATGTCAATACATATTAAATGCCTATTTTAACGCATTTTATGATTCATGTTCCAATCTCTTACTTTATCTATAAGAACCCTATTAGTGGTGATTCAAAGTAGAACATGGATATTCCTGTAATCTCTGTTATTATGTTGACCTCAGCTGTTGGAACTGCATGTTGTTGCTGGCCCATGGTTTTCACACTTTGCCACCCCCCGCATCCCGCACTCCCCGCCTCCCATTAGTTGCATTGACTCTTGACGCCTGACGTTGATAAATGAATCATAAAAGCAGCGCAGTCGACGTCGCCGGCAAGAGCAGACAGGCGCCAACGTCGCCCGCTCTCTGCCTCTCTCCCACTCCTTTTCTCCCTCTCTGGTCATATGTTCGGCTGCGTTGCGTCGCCGCCCACTCGAGAGTGTTTATGTTGTTTTTGTCCCCACATCTCGGTTTCCTCTTTCGTGTTGCCGTAATTCCAAATGCGTGAGCTGCTTTGTTTTTGTTTCGAGTGCTAATCGAAGCCACTCTTGTTATCGCAACGAATTTTTTATGGCTCTCGATCGTTGGCGTGGGCGAGAGAGCAGGAGAGAGAAGAGTTTGTTGCATGGGGTACAGTGGTTGCTCGCCAATTGCAATGTATAATTATCCCTGCAGTTCCTTACCTCTCAAAATCATCACTCAGTCGACTGGAACATCGTCAAAGCCGACGCTCTCGCCACCTTCTCTCGATATCTCTCTTTAAAAAAAGTGATCAAAATGTGGTGATTTGCTGATGAAAAAGAGATCTTTTTTGATTTTTTTCACTGATGAACATTACTACAAGATCAATGAAATTGTGCTCGTTTAAGCAAATACCGCAATATAGGCACATTATTGGATATTTTGAAATTTAGATAAAGCACTTAAAATAAATAAAGTCTATAATAAGACATTCATTCTAAAGCCAAAATAATAATGATAATACACAAATTTTACATTTTTGCATTACATGGAGCTTAGCAAGATATAATAGATTCAAAATAAATGAGTAAATACATTAGCTCTAGAGTTTATTACTCATACATGTATTACTCTTTTAAATATATTTAGTTTTCGAATAAAACTTTATCAAAAATTAAACGAAAGAAATTTAGATTTAGTTGTTTGAACCACCCTATTGTTCATAGAGAAACAATTATATGTGGAAAACAAACAAATATGGTAGCCATAGTTATTTTTCTTGTATGCTTCCGAATTTTATATTTTAAAATCTTTAAATTTTCAAATATACCCGCTAGAATCAGATTGAGGTCTGGGGTAACCTTAGAAACAGCTTTCAAAGCACTGTGGAGTGCGCTTCTCTCGCAATGTATTTTCTCCGCGCCGTGCTCTTGGGGCGGCGTGCGTTGTTTGTTGCCTTTTGCCGGCTGCTCTAGTGGCAGTGACACTCGAGGGTGAGAGACACGCCGACGGAACAACTGAGCAAAGGCCCCACAGTCCGATTTAGTTCGCCGGACGGCCCATATTGATAAATTTATAATTGTGGCCATATCTCTCCTCTCCTGCAATAACCTCCGATCTCAGTGTGAGTGGGTGTTTTTTGTACCATTTTAAAAAGCAAAACAAAATGCTTTTCGCATGCCAACAAAATCGGGAGCACAGAATTTTGACGTGATCTTCAAGAAGATTGCTTAAAAAAAGAAGAATAAAGTGCCAAAGCTGTATAGTTCTGTGCAAAATTGTGTGAAACACACAACGAAAAAGTGTTCGCAAAATATATGTAAACAATCTATCTTTTGCCGTTGTATGACAAATTTAAAATTTTGTGGAACCATATGACGCGATTGCAATAGGGCGGGGAATGGAATACAGAAGGAAATATATAGTAAGATAAGCTGCGGTACACTTTTTCGCGATAGATAACAGAAGGTTGGAACCCCTGGAAATACACCAAACATTAAATCATCTCTGTACTGTTCCCGATTTTGATTTCAGTTGATGAAATCTCCATTTTTAGAATATTAATTTTTTCTTTATTCATTCTGGGAATTATTTTATTTACGTTATTCTTAATTTTTAAAAACTCTGTTTTTGGAAAATCAGCTTTTAGGGTTATAAATATAACTATAATCTCGTACTTTAAGCTGAGTACATACATTAAGTAGAAATGTATATAGTCATAATTATCAATATAATTCGCAATGTATTATTCTTGTCCCCCAAATAATGATCTTCTCTCACTCTCAACAGCTGTTTTCTGGCCTTAGAACAGCTGTGCATAAAGGGGCACTAGGCGAAGCGGAGGCGGTGGAAGCAGGAGCTAACTAGAAGAGCCAGAGGCACTCAAAGACAAAGCCATGTCCAGCGAGGAAGACAAACCGCCGGCGCCGCCCGTGCGTCTCACCAGCAACCGAGGCGGCATCGACCGATCCGCGGGAGGAGGAGTGGGCGTCGGCGGCGGAGGCGATGTACCGCCCGACATGCGGCCACTGCCCAAGGGTAAGTACGATTTTATTAGTTGAACACGGCATGTGGACATCGCCGGTCCGCTTAACAATGTGCTTCTTTCTCTTTCCCCCCAAAGAACCCGATGACTCGGACCGGAAGAAGAAAACGCTGAAGAGCAAGATCAAGGGATCGAAGCCCTCGCACACGGACTCCAAACCGAACATCTCCTATCCCACGAACTTCGAGCACACGGTCCATGTGGGCTTCGATGCTGTCACCGGCGAGTTTACCGTGAGTTCTATGTTTTGCTCATTTACGGACACCTTCAGTCGTGTTTGCCTCGCCATTATGTTTACGGGTTGCTGTCTAAGAATAGCAAGTCGGAAATCTTCGGTTTTCACTGCTTATGTCCTCCATTTGATAAGCTTTTATACAAAAAATTGATATGCAAAAAACACAGTCACCAGCATACGACTTTAAGTTTCGTTTGCAGACTATACATTTTATGTAATTTTTGGGTGATGAGGGTATTGGCACCGTTGGATTTAATATACGAAGAAGGCATTTCTTTCCTTTATTTCTTATTTTTTATGTTTCATAGAACTATTAAGAATGTCGAAAAAACGACGAATATTTTGAAAACAACTTTTTAGAACCGAAAACATTGAATTTGAACAAAACAAATTACTATATGGCTCACCCGTTCACCCAAAGATTTTCTTATTATTTTCGCTTTTGTTTCGACGCTCTCAAAATATATATTACACTGTACTTGTACATACATTCTGTTGTCTATATCTTTCTCTCGCGATACGTGCTCTATATCAATTTCTATTATTTATCAAGCTGCCAATGAAAGTAAGTAAACTCCACGACTAACTCTTCGGAGCTTGCCTTCATTAGTTACTCAATAAAGTCTCATTGTGCTCCTTTGTCTGTCCATTTTGTCGACTCCGTGTTTGTTCAAAGTTCGATCGTTATTACTCATAGTTTACATTTACGATCGCTCCTTCCTTATCGTTGTACTCTCACAATAATCCTACACTTGACCATACAACATTACACCGACACTCGCTGTCTAGAATTCGTAGTTGAAGTGCCTTTCATCATCCCCCGATCAGAATAATTGGCCGTGCATTGATGTACCCAAAATCCAGGAATTTATATGTACCCCACCCCTTTTAGATGTACTTCCATCGCTGTAATTGTGTTGGGTAACTCTTTCTAACATACTGACCTGTTGCCTTTTCCAGGGCATGCCGGAAGCATGGGCGCGCCTGCTTATGAACTCGAACATCAGCAAGCAGGAGCAGAAGAAGAATCCCCAGGCCGTGCTTGACGTACTCAAGTGGTTCGACAACACAACCAAACAGAGGCCAAGTTCCAAGTACATGACAAATGCCATTACGACGCATTCAGGTTGGTCTCTCCTTTTAATAGATGATCAAGGCTTCCAACAAAGAAACAAATCCTTTCTTACTTATTTCCGCGTATATCCTATCGATACTAATGCACTTTTACTTTTTGCAGGCTCATCGCTCAGCCGGGTTAGCAGCAGCAGTCCAAGCAGCACGCCAACGGACTCGGAGCTGCACGGATCCAATAGTGGTGGCAACCTGATCGGCGTGCAGCTGGGCAGCATGACCCTGGGACCCAATGCCAACAACGTGGCTGTCGCTGGCCAAATCCTGGGCAACCACTACCAACAGCAGCAGCAGCACCTCCTTCAGCAGCAGCAGCAGTTGCACCAGAACCACAACCAGCATCCCATTGGCATTAGTCAGTCGCACTCGTACAACTTTGTCGGCCACACGGCCTCCGCATCCACATCGCAACATTCATCCGCCAACGAGGACGATATGCTGGGGCCGCAGCATCCGCATCCGCAGCAGCTCCAACAGCAGCCGCCACCTCCGCCGGTGGCTTCCAGGCCGGAGCGCACGAAATCCATCTACACGCGGCCAATCGAGGATCTGCAGCCAGCCATCATACCCATGCCAGCGGCACCAGCGACCACGCCCACAACGCCGCTGCAGAATCATAGGACGCAAGGCGGAATGACGGCGCCAGTGGCGTCACCGATGCTCCACAACAATGTCACGACGACGCTGGACAAGAACAAGAACAATGCAAGTGAGTGCCGCTCCAGAATATGTGGATCATAGCTTAGTTGCATCTACCTAACGAAGAGCCTTAGCAGCAAGTTATAAAAAGTTAATGTCAGCAAAACGTACTCAGAAAAATACAATTCAGACTTTGTCCGTTCATTTAGTATTTACATGCACGGAAACAAATGCTGATAAAATTAGGCAAAAGGTTAAAGTATTTAACATATTTATAAAATACTGAAGAGAAAGTAAACTGTTGGCAGATAAATATTCGGTAAATTAGTAATGATTTCCGATTGTGCGGCGAGTTTAAGATGTTTCATAACCTAACTAGTTTGCTGCCAGGGCTCAAGGGCTTTGATGTGTCGTTAATAGCTTCTCTATGTTGCCTTTTTAACTATAAACTCTTTTGTGGTGATAATGCTAATGACGATTTAATGAATGTGTATTTTGGTATTTGTATCGCCTCTCTGTGTTCTGTTCTGTTTTGTTCCGCTTCTAATTGCTGCTAAAAAAAATATATTAAACAACTCAATAAAACAACTGCGACGACGCCAGCTTCAACGTCCCCAACAACCACAAAAACAACAGCCACAGAAACAGAAGGCACCGATGCAACATCAACTCTTTTGTCTGCTACTAATCCTAGTTGTTCTACCACTCCTACTACTGCTCCTGCTCCAGCTGCATCTCGTGGTAGTCTCGTCGAGACAGCAACAGCACCAGCTACCACTGCAGCAGCAACAGCAGCTACAGCAACAACGACTAATCACCATTCCTCTGCTTCCTCCTTTTCATCATTTCCCTCGTTCCACGACGACGATGCCACACACCACGCCCTGCCAACGATCCACTGTCCTACGCCGACGTCTTCCGCTCGCAACTCGACGGTTCCGCTTCCGATTGCGGTTCCCCTTTCGCCCATCATCACGCCCGCATCGCCCACACCCGCCTCCGTTGGATCATCAGATCTGTACACACCGGAACCAACGGTGGGTCCAGTGGCAGCTGCTGCTGCTCCTCCGCCTGCGGCAGGCAACCAAATCGCCGTTCCCCAGGCAGCTGTAGCTGTGGCTGCCACGCCCAACACGCGGGCAGCGAATGCCAAGAAGAAAAAGATGTCTGATGAGGAGATCCTGGAGAAGCTGCGCACTATCGTCTCCGTGGGCGACCCAAATCGAAAGTACACCAAGATGGAGAAGATTGGCCAGGGTGCCTCTGGCACCGTGTATACAGCCATTGAATCGTCGACGGGCATGGAGGTGGCCATCAAACAGATGAACCTGTCACAGCAGCCCAAAAAGGAACTGATCATCAACGAGATCCTCGTGATGCGGGAGAACAAGCACCCGAATGTCGTCAACTACCTAGACAGCTATTTGGTGTCTGAGGAGCTGTGGGTGGTCATGGAGTACCTGCCTGGCGGCTCGCTCACCGACGTAGTCACCGAGACCTGCATGGACGAAGGGCAGATTGCAGCTGTCTGCCGCGAGGTGCTGCAAGCCCTGGAGTTCCTCCACGCCAACCAGGTCATACATCGCGACATCAAAAGTGATAACATCCTGCTGGGCCTCGACGGCTCTGTCAAGCTGACTGATTTCGGTTTCTGTGCGCAAATATCGCCGGAGCAATCCAAACGCACAACGATGGTGGGCACTCCCTACTGGATGGCTCCCGAGGTGGTCACCCGGAAGCAGTACGGACCTAAGGTTAGTACGATCACTAAGCAATAAGGACGTAGGCAGTAATCAAGTAATATCTGGGAATATCTTTGGTATGTACGTTGAGATTATATATCAACGCAGTGGGGCTCAACAGTTTTGGTAGTCTTATTCTGTCTGAACTGAATAATTTATAATAAGGGAAAACGGTTGAAAATTATAAATTGTTGTTGTTAACAACAAACATTGGTTTTACATCCAAAAGATTAGTTTAGATTAGATTACTAAACAGTAAAATGGGACCTTAAGATTATCCAGTCTGCCGATCGGCTAAAAATAAAAAAGAATAATTTTTGAATAATCGACTCTATTCTCGTGCAGGTGGATCTGTGGTCGCTGGGCATCATGGCCATTGAAATGGTTGAGGGCGAACCGCCATACTTGAACGAGAATCCGCTAAAAGCCTTGTACCTCATTGCCACTAATGGCAAGCCAGAGATTAAAGAAAAAGACAAGTTGTCCGGAGCATTTCAGGACTTCCTCGACCAGTGTCTGGAGGTGGAGGTAGAACGGCGAGCCAGTGCACTGGACTTGCTGAAGGTGAGTCCTTTAGTCAAACTGATAACACGGACTATCATTACAATCTCCTATTCGCATTGCAGCATCCCTTCCTAAAACTGGCCCGTCCATTGGCCAGTCTGACTCCTTTGATCATGGCCGCAAAAGAGGCAACGAAGGGCAACTGATTGACAACCAAGAAGAAACCGCTTATTTAACCATTACTAATGAATTACTACTGCAGAAAACAACAAGAACAGCAACAACCACAATAGCAACAATAACAGTTATGCATATGAACCGAACAGATGATGAATTATTAATGATTATGATTACTATTATTAATTATTTATATGAACGTATTATATACACACATATTATATTATATTATATCTATTCTAACGAGACAAACAGCAAAACTAAGAAAAACTGCATACGGCAAACAAGAGACACGCGTAGTTCAATTTCCACAAATCGGTTTTCTGTGTTTTATATTCTTACATGCAAAAAGATATCACGTTGCTTTGGCCACCACATCATCGAAACAAAATTTGTTATACCAAAACATAAATTTAAAATTGTATAGACCCACAATTTGTAATGAGCATTTTGAATGCTTTTCAAATTATAAGCATAAAGATCATATAAAAAGAAAGAACAAAAACACTTACATTATAGTTGTCAACATTGAAACATTACAATTGGTAACTTTGCATTTAAAACAAATTAAAATATACATACACATTTTTACAATGTATAAAGCACTTAATTTCATTTATTTCGTCATTACATTTCTATAAGAAAGCTTAAAAATTATTATATGAGAGTATGAACTTTGGAACGCTGTTACTAACCTTATGACTTGGAGTATTATCGCTGATTTTAGTAAAAGTTTCATTTAGTTCATAAACTGCTTTATTTAATAAAAAATATATTTTTATATGATTTTAAAATTTGGTTTATTTTGCTTGAATCCTTTAGTTTATTATTCGTGAGTTTCTTCGCTTAGATATTCCATGATCCAAGTGGAATAAATCTCATAATTTTCAAGGAGGAGTCCTTCACCAATGCACCCTTTACTCCAACACAACTTCCACACGCCCGATTCTCGCAATTTTTTGTCTGTATATGTAGATGTATATCAAAAGAAAAACAACATTTAATTGTAATAGAATTTACTATTTAGATATAAACACATATAGAAGACACAAAGACACACCTGTATTTTTCAATTTACAACAATGGAATGTGGTTTGCACGACAAAAAGAACAACAACACACCTGTAGCAATATATTACAATTTAATTATAAAGAGAGGAAATTATGGAACAACTACACTAAACTGTTCAATAAATTGGTAGTAGCCACTAAATATAACTAGTAAATAAAAAATAGAGTATAAAATTCGATCGTGAACCATGAGGAATGAAAAGGATAAAATGAAAACCAGTTACTTTGTGCCTAACCGAAACCGAAAATGAAATCAATAAGATCAACAACAAGTAAATATTATAACTATAGTAACTAGCAGTTGTAGCGTAACATAGAGAATCGAAATTCTAGAATACATAGAGCAGTCAACTAAAACACCAGCTAATATAGATAGATGCTTGAGTGGGTGCGTGTATATTGATCGGACGGGTGCTGAATGGATCGAAAAAGATCGCAAAGATAGTTCTTTAAAATATTTAGAGGTATGCATACCCCAATTTACATATTTCTTGGTTTCTCTAGCATTACTGGTCATGCTCAAATTATGTTTTATCATATATATTAAAATTTTTATTATTTTATCTTGTTTTCTCATATTAAATGCAAATTGGGTCATTAAACGGATAAAGCGTACAAAACTGTAATAAGTAGACATCGGGTTATATGCGAAAAATTCTATTCTAATAGAAATTTGGCTGAATACAAATGTTTGCCCACAAAACCAAGATTTATCAAAAATCTAAACATGAGACCTACGTTTCTGGAAATCCGATATCTACTAAGAAATTAATCCTTAACCATTTAAACCTTCTATTTTTCAACTTTATCAATTGATCGAAAATGTTTGTTTAATATTTAGAAGTATCGTCGACCATCTAAATATTTTAAGCCGATTTCTTTTTCGATCTGTAATAGATTAAACATATTGTTAAATGGAAATATATATTAAAAATCAGAGCCTGTATGGTGAACCATATTGCGGCGACGGTCTTGCTATTTAACCGATCATATCCCTCTTAAAAGGGTTATTGGATTAGTTGAGCTTGTATTAACATGTTTAAACACCAAAACCAGAATCAACTTTATACAAACGAGAGGAAAAAGATTTGTTTGCAACACTAAGGACACATTATTTTCAATATTAGTTCCTAATACACAACCATTTTCCATATGGATGGAAAGAAGTCTGGCTTTGAAAACGAATAAAATTACGGATTATTGTATTTGTATTTATTTATAGATATTAGTAAACTCGGCTACAGTGAAGAAAGAATGTGTATTAAACAATAATGGTAGCGATGAAGCGAACCGATGAATGGGTAAATAAGAACACAAAGAATTATATAATAATAAATACAAAAAGTGAACCATGATCAACATATAGATACAAATCGGAACTCTAAAATAACGTATAAATGATCAATAAATATTTACGAATGAAAGGAAATATTGGTTTTATTGGTTTAAATTGCATTAATGTGTGTATTTTATTCAATTAAAATATTGGAAGTTAAACAACTTCGGCTTAGTATAATAATTTAATTGTTATGATTAAATTGAATAGTTATGTTATAATGCCACTACTTGTTGCGGCGCGTTGACTCAGAAGCTGTGGGTGGTGGCGGAGGGCCGCGTTTGTTAAGTTCCTCTAGGAAGCCGAGGACAATAGTGTTTCTCTCCTCCTCCATGTGGTCCAGCACCAGATACCTTTGAGAAGTAAAAGGTTAGGATTTACGAACTGGACACTTGAAAACAGGTATATTGCCAAAATTAGGAACACAATTTTGATTTTGCCATTCGTGTCAAGAATTACAGGCAATAACTGAAGGATAAGCTAATCTTTTCTTACCTTTTGTCGTTCTTCAGTATGTCCTGGATTTCCTTGAGGTGATTGGGATTTTCCTTGATGAGATCGCTGCTCTGTGGGTGATGAATTTGCACTCCTGCAACAGTTCCCGAAGAGCGGTTTTCGCGGTCATGGTTTTATCCTTGATGTAGTCCCGGAACTCGCGCTCTCCCTTGTCCGAATTGTATTTCAAGTAATCGCGGATCCTCTTTGATCAGTTTCTTAATCTCCTTCCAAGTGCTAGTGAGCTGCAGAGTGCCAATCTCGTCCAGCATTTCGCGGAATCGCTCCCCGCTTTTTCTTCATCAGATTGTCAATGTGCTCGTTGAATTTTCTGCAAGAGTAAAGTTGATGTTTCTAAGATTTACAGCTAATGAATAATTCAATGTTGTTTACCGCTCGCGATCTTCTCGATCGAGTGTCTCGATCAGTTCCAGCGATGGTCTTCCGCAACTGGCGCTTTACCTCCTTCCATGTGAAATCCGGCGTCCGCACCAGATCTGTCAGCAGAGCCGTGAAGTGGCCAATGCACTCTTCGCGCATGTGATGCTCGCGTTCCTTGTCCCGATCCCTCAGATGCCCGGCCAGGGTCCGCTGCACCTCCTTCTCCCGCTCCCGAATGCTCTGTTCTGCCCTCAGCTTCTTTTCACGCTCTTTTTGCTTCTGCTCAGCCTCGGTCTCCCGTTGGCGAGCCACCTCGCTGTCGTCGCTGCCGGCTCGCCCTTCCCTATCGGATTCTTCGCGATGCTCACCCTCCTCCTATGAAAAGTAGAAAGAGTAGCAAAATGTAAACGTAATAAAAAGTCTTAAAAGGATTATTGACTTACCGGAGTATCGCGTTTCTTGCTCTTCTCCGACTTGCTCTTTTCCTCCTTCACTTTCTCCTTTTCCTTGGACGATTGAGGCTCGCGGTCCTTGTCCTCGAGCGACTGCGTCCTCGATCCTTCCGATTCTGTCCTTTTCCTTTTCTTTGTCCTTGTCCCTGTCTTTCCGGTCCGATTTGCGTTCTCGGTGTCGCTCTCGTTCTCTTTGTTCTCGCAGCTCCCGCTCCTTTCGCTTCTCCTCCTTCATGATGTGCAGGTAGTCCTCGAAGTACTCCTCCCGGTACATGGAGTCCACCATCCGGTAACGGGGGTCCGACTCAAACTTCTTCTTGATGTCGTACCACCTGGTGTGGCGTTCGATGTCGTGTCGTTCGCGCAGCATATCCAGAAAGTCCTTACGGATCTAAAGTTTGTGAGTGTATGTGAAAGGAATATTGACATGACAGCCATGCGGAAGAGAAGAGAAATGCGACAGAGAGATCGAATTAGAAGTCTGGCATTGATGCGCCCTTCACTTAACATTCTATCACTTAATGGGCTAATCTAAAGCTTAGGACTACTGTTTCTTAAGCTACTGAACATAGTTACACGGTTTTGTACCTGCAAAAGAAGGGTTTAAATTAGCGATCATAGACTTAGCTGAAACAAAACTTTTGATTAGTTCTGGTCCTGCTTGCTGAGAGAGAATTGGCAGGGACAGACTACAATCGAACCACAAAATCGCGTTTGGTAATGCCAAAATAAACAAATAAAAAGCATAAATTCAAATGATTGCATAATTCACAAAGCTTCAGGTTTCATTATAGTGTAACATAACAAATTTCCCACTATCTTTTTATTTAAGAGTATCATCTGGTTTGTAGATACATTCTTCAGAAATATACAAAAATTAGTAGATCCGAAATGTAATCCACTTAAAACAATTTTTAACAAAAGTCTAAAACTTGCTTTTATTATAAAAAATTACTTTTTTGTATAAATCGCCTAAACTAAACATTGCAACTAAGATCATTGTCTCTAAACTTGAAATTTAAAATACATAAAATAACACAAGAAATCATTTTGTAAATTAACCATTCATATTTAGAATCCAGATTTCAACTGTGTCTTTTCTAAATTCAGAAGCTACGTGAAGTAAACTGCAATAGCAAAATATACGTGCGATAGGAATTCAAATCAATGCGATTGATAAATTAAAATATACAACACATTTTAAAATAATGGAGGTGCAGAAAAAAGCAATATTTGAAGAATGTGCGTGCTTAACACAGCAGACGGACCACCTAACCCCGCCCTTTCTCTCTTGATCAGCAGGCGGTGGAGGTGAGACTTCAGCAAGGCCGAAGGGTACAATAGTCAATACATCTACAGTAAATATATGGTATATGGTAAGGATAGGGGCTGAGAGCCTTTCAGCGACTTCGGGCCGCTGCCTGAACCTGCCAGAGCAAAGAGCTGAGATCTTAGGGCCCAACAATCTCGCACTTCTTTGGTCTACGCAGGTTGTATTGGGCTGAGTTCGGTTCCTTGGGCTTGCCTCTTTCAGGTGACAAACTGCTGTGTGTGTTCATTATTTGTAAACAAAACGAAAATAGTGGGTTAATTAAATTAAGTATTATTCATACTGTTTGCTCAGCGCCGCAGACACCTGCACACGAATTGCTGTCGCTCTGGATCACTGGAACAATCTCTCTCTGCCTGTCTCCGGCTCGTTGGCATCCATCCGAGAGCCCAACGCGAACTTCTAACTTCATCACTCATGATCTCCCAATGCCATTCACAACATCGCAACATCCTCTTCTTCACATCGCATATAACATCCGAGAGGGCGACGTGGGGCGTAGGGCGGGAAGTGGAAATCACACCAACGATTATCAGGTAATTTTCAGTTTGGCAAACCTTTCGATATTTTTGTTTTTAT